AGGCCCTGCTTGGGAGGAGTTTAACAAGCCTTTTGGAAGGCTCCTCTTAAAACCATTGTCTGGAGAGGCGGTACTGGTTAGAGATCAGATACTGGCTTGCATTTTATGTGTTGGTTTCATTTTTTTTTTTTAATTATTTATTTTATGGAAACCCCGAAAAAAGACACATTTTTTCCACACTTTGTAATTATGAGCTCATCAGCCACAGAGGTAGTTGTTTCAAGTCCTCATGTGACCAAGAGCCACGGTTGTCTTGCCATGCCCGTGATGTGTTCTTACACGCAAACTTGACCTTTTAACATCTTCCTGCTCTTGTCTGTGCCCAGGCAGGGCGCTGTGCTGTGCTCTCTGCTTATTTTGCCTTTCAGGCTGCAGCCACCCTGGCTCTTTTTGGTCCTGTTGAGTTTTGCATCGGGGATAGCAAAACTGATGTCTCTGCAGTCAGGAATGGATCTGATCCATTAGGAAATGAGCCGTGATGGAGGTACCAAGCATTTGACATTTACACCATGGCTTGCCTTCTTGCCACCAAAGCAGGAGTATCTCCTCTGGCAGGCAGCTGCAAGCCCTTCAACTTCAAACTGCAGTACAGGGGTGCACTCCCTGGGCTCAGGTTAACCTGTGATTTTTCTGCTTGCACTCAGTAACTTTTCTCCTAGTCTTCCACCCAGCTGAAGGCTGTAGGAAGAGAGGGTGATGCCATGTGGCTGCTTCTCTGCACAAAGGTTTAATTGTGAGCCCAGGGAAGGAGACGTGACATAGTCTGCAGTAAATGTGCTTGCTGCATGGTTCAGAGACAGACAAAATGAGAATTTTAAGCATACTTAAAAATGGCTCTGGCTTTCTCAACCGCTGTGTGCGCATCGAGTGTGTTTCCCAGTCCTCTGGTCTGTCCATATGTTTAACAAATCCTTCAGGTTCTTAGCTGGAAACTTTCAGCCTTGACCCACCTGGAGCTATGTCATCTTGGAGAGAGTCCTGCATCCCTCAGGCCAACAGCTTTGTGTGTAAGAGGGGAAAAAAAAAAAAAAACACAACACAGACTGCTGAAGTGGTGCCTACTTTTTATGAGAAAATTGGCAAAAGGCAGTGGTGTGTGCGTGTTGTCTCTACGTGAAAGACAGATGAGCCGTTCTGGAGGGGGTTCTTCACCTGCCACGCACGTGCAGCAGCGAGGGAAAGTCAGTGTCTGAGTAATTCAGCCCATTTTAAAATAAAAGGTTATGTTAAAATGGGCTCAGAAGACGCTGGCTGGCACACAGAGGAGAATTGTTCTTGTCAGCTTGTTTCAGGCTGCTGGCCTCTTGAAAAATTAAAATGAGCCTGCTGCATTGCTTCCCTGCTGTGAGACGTGCTGGCACAGGGTGCGGACCCGGCGAGCCCCATGCTGGTCTTCCTCTGCTTCTGCTCCTCTTCCTCCTCCTCCTCCTCCTGCGCTGTGCCGGGGGCTGCGGCTCTCAGCAGGGCAGTGAGCGTTATCTTCATTCTCCAGACGTAGAAAGCCAGGGGCAGGAATGCAAAGCAATTTGTCCCCATCAGCACAAGGTGGAAACACAGCGTACTTTGCCGCTTGTATTTCATGCCTGTCCTGGGCTGGAGGTGGCGTTTCTGATGGCCTCTTTGATGGAGGAAAGGCCCTAAGGCAGCTCGGTCACTCTGCTGCTTAGGAAGATGGATGTCTTTTTGTGTCCAGGGACTGTAAACAGGGCGCTTTTGAGTGCTATTTCGTAACAGGGATCTTATTTCAACACTCTGGGAATTTCTTTTTTCCCGGGTTTGTGGAGTTCAGCAAAATTCTGCACATTTGTGTGTGAAATGACTGCACCCAGCCACAAATATAAATCAACAGGATCTCTCCCTTAGACAGCTGGATCATGAAAGACAGGCACTTGCGTGACCAAATACAAGAAAAAACCCACAACTTCCTATGGTGAGGTTCCTGCTACAAAGCACGGGCAAGGCTTTTTCCTTTGTTCCTCTGTGTCCAGACTTTACCGAGAATAACGAGCTTAAGCAACATGCAGAAGCACAGAAAAGGTGAATTGTCGTAATCTAACTTGCGAAAAGAAGAAACACTTTCCATTAAGTAAGGACGACTGCTGTCTCTGTAGAAGAAAGAGCCTGTATTTTTCCAGTACTACATCAAAGATCTTACTCATTCTCTCTCCCTCCATAAAGAATACGTACAGTCCCATGCACTTCAGCCTGGTTAAAAGCTGGCTCCTTAATCCTTTTCTCTCCAAACGTCTCCCATTTATAGCTTTCCAGCATTTGGCAGCCGGCAGCCAGCACATTCCCGTGCATGTTAGTGCCAAGGCAGGTCAGTTGAGTTATAATTGGCTCTCGCTGGCACTCTGACTAGCTGCTAAATTCTTTACCTGGCAGCCGAGCAGGGCTCTGAGCTGTTGAAAGCCATGCCTGCCCCTGGGACGCTGCAGCCAGTCCTCCCAGCAGGATGGCGTGGGATGAAAGTCCCCAGGACCAGCACACACCTGGGGCAAGCAGGCGTCCTCGGCAGGTTTGATTCTTGTAGCTGAAACCTTCCTTGAGCAGCTTGCTGGTAGCAATTCTCGATGGTTTTTGATGGGCTCCAAGCTGATGGCCAGCCTTGGCCCTTCTGCTTTGCTCCTGGATCTGCCGTGGTGTCCCCATGGACATTCCATAAATGACCACAGCGTGGGCATTTAGGAAATGGGAGCATCCCTGCGTCTTTATGGCAAGCGGGAGATGGAAACAAGAACAAGGAGAAGTGAAGAGCAATGGTCTGGGCTTTTCATGTCCTTGCAGAGGGAGGTGATAAAGGTGAAGGGATGGTGGGTTTTGCATCATGCTCATTTCTCACCTCTTTTTTGTGCCTTCCGTTCAGTTGCATCAGGTTTTCCCAGGTCTAATGCAGTGCTGGAAATCCTGACCCTGCTCTGGTGGCTGAAAATGCTTTCAGTAAAGGACCCAGTGCTCTGAGAGTCCCACAGCAAAACGAGGTGTGGACCTCTGGTATGATCCCCACGGGGTCCCAGTGGGCCTGGGGAGAAGGGACAGATTTAACTGCTTGCTCTCCCTTTCCGGCACTTTTGCTCCATCCAAGAAGTGATGCTCCTCTCCTTTTATTTCCTTTGCCTTTTTTGTTTTTCCTTCTCCAGTGCATTCTGCCCTGAGGCTTGCCTGGCTCCTTGTCCCCATCTTTGGGACCCAGCTCAGACTTTTCCTGGGTATGCGACACTCATCCTGCCGGAGCTGGGAGCAAAGAGGAAGGCAGGTCTGTGCCAGCCAGGCTGCTCTGCTGGATGGATTAGGAGAGAAGGATGGGTGTGCAGGATCTGCCCTTCCTCTGTGATTCATGCCTTCCAGCTGGCCGGCAGCAGGAAAGGGGGACCTCATTAACCAGAAAATGGAGAGGGGAAAACATGCAGTGGTGCCAGCGGGTGGATGCTGAAGGGCTCCAGCAGCCTGCACGTCCCCTCTGTGGCCGCTCCTCATTTTTTCCTGCCAGCAGCTGGGGCTTGAGGGTACTGCTGTGCATCACGCCCCTTCTGCTCATCTTCCCGTCATCTGATGTTATCTAGGATTGCGCCGTCGGTGATAAGCTATGTGAAAAATGTTCTCTCGTGAGCTGTCTGCATGAGGAGAGCCAACGTTTTCCCTGTCTGAGTTTCACCTCCCTGATCCTAAAATACTTTCTGCCTTATTGGAACCACATCTTGAGGCCTTGGCAATGGTGGTGAGTCAATGAGCAGTGAACGAATAACAAATGATGGTTGTGGCTGTCTTTACCTAGCAGTGTGGAAATTAGATCTTAGAGATTAGGTTTGGTAGGTGCAATTAAAGTTGGTGAAATTATTGTTTTAATACTGTCTTTGATAGAACATTCAATGTTTGGGCAAGAAATAGTATTCAAATTTCCTTTTTTTTTTTTTTTTTTCATTCGGTGTTGGTACCATCTTAACTTAGCCAAATGGGGCATATTCTGATACGTGCACGAATTCCTCGTGCTCCTGTTTTCTCTACAAGCAGAGCTTGCTGCTCATTTACAGTCAGTGGTGGTCAGGTACTTAACCTTTCTGGAAAGAGAGAAGATAGCTGCTTATTTTGTCATAGCAGACTTTGGGAAATGCCTCCCTCAAAGAGTAGCTTTGTGACAGAGAGGCGATGCTCCTGAAGGCCACCAGATCCCTGTTAGCAGTGCAGCATCACCTGGAGGTGGAGGAACATTCCTGTGGGCTCAGGGTGGCTCCTGGGGGCCAGGAATGAGGAAGAGGAAGGTGGAGGTGGGACCCATCCCTGCATCTTGCTGCAGGCAGAAATCCATTTGTTTCAGCTGCGTTGTGCAACTGCGCTCTCAGGTATCTGGACAGCTTGTCTCGGGCACCGCAGGGTCACCTGAACTGGTGCCTGGGGGGTTTTCAGCCTCATGGAACGCAGCTGACATTCTTCTGGGAGTGTTTCTAGGGAAAAATATTGCTGAAAAAATGAGGGAAATACTACTTTCCATAAAGCTTAGGTTGTGGGTCTGCCTGCCTCATTGAAAAACTGGGTCTGCAGAGCGGCTGCTGGTATCAGGCACCACCTGTCCCAGGAAAAACTGGGTGATAGGAATTACCAGCACCCATGGTGGAGACACAAAATCTGGGAGTTCTCACCCAATCTCATCAAACAGAAAGTTGCAATCCTGTATTTTTTTAACAGCATGCGTACATGATGAGAATGACTGCTGGAACGGCCCCTGAAGAAGCCTTTGTGTTGGGCCACGCAGCGTGCCAAGCAGGCTGGGAAGCCAGGCAGCGCTGCAAAATGATCGCATTTCCTTGTCCTGCGCTGGGAGGAAAGCTAGTGCCTAAACTTTAGCAAAGAAAGAAACTCAGTTCGGTACATGTAAAACGTTTTTAATTTAAAAATTAATAATTACCATCAGTAATTCTTGCTATTAATTATTAATTTTTAAAAAGAACTTTCTTATTGATGAGTCACTTAACATGTAAATTCCTTCTTATCATCGTGGCTAGGTTTTACCATTGAAAATGAAATGTTAATTGAAATGGATCCCCATCTGCTGATCTCTCCTTGTGGCAAGGCAGCATTTTCCAGCTCCTCTCCTCTCCCTCTCTGGCTGCCTCCAGGAAAACGAAAAGTCCTGCTGGGATGTCCTGGGAAGCTCCAAGGTTTCTGCATCGGAGGTGGCTGCTTTCCACCTGCCAACAGGTGCCTTCTTTAAGCCTCAATACCCTGGTGTTGTTTTTTTTGTTTTGTTTTGTTTTTTAAATCAGCCCATGGATTTGGCCAGAGGCTTTTCAGGCTATCTCTTTTAATATCTCTGTGGTAAGACTGTGCTTAGAGAAGGGCTCTAATGTCCCCCAGGGTTTGGGTGCTGTTACGGGTTCATGCTCCTTAGGGGTTTAGTTATGCTTACAGTTCTTGGCATTGCTCTCTCTCCCCCTATCCCTGCTGGGTCCTAAAAAAGCAGATGTGGTTTCAGCTTTGTGGTTTGGGTTGATTTCGTGTGTTTGAAATCTGCATTTTCACGATCAGAAAGTGTCGGGGCTGCTCTGCGGGCTGCTCTTTGCCTGCTGTGGGGCTTTGTGCTTGCTGGCTTCGGTGTCTGGGGAAATAACGAGCATCCCAGGTCAGGAGGGTGCTCTCCTTGTCCCCCTGCAGAGGCAATGCATCTGGCTGTGTGCATTCCTAAAGGCTCCCCAAGATCCCAGCTCTGTTGCACAGCACTGCCCTGGTAAGTGCATTAACTCCTCGGTAAGCTGCGAGGCCAGTCTCCCCCATCAGATATCCTTTAACAGCAGCGCTCTGGATTTGCAATAAGCAGAGTTTCTTGGCGAGCTCCAGTCCTCTGGCAAGGGCTGCCTGGACTCAGCAGAGCTCTGAAGCCCCAGAGTGCATGTGTGTGCGCTGGCTGTGGAGGCTTCCTGCCGTGCTCAGGCTTTGGGCACTGCTGAACTTGGCACCTCTAAATCCCACCCTTTCTGTAAACAGAGGAATACAAGGGCAGCTTGTGGTGCTCCTGGCCACCCAGCCTGGTGCTCGGATGCTCCCCGGAGAGATGCTGCTGGCGGAAAGAGGAGAGGGAGGAAAGGAGCAAGGTCATGCTAAGAAGGCATATGTGTTTTATATGGAAACCCTGTCTGGGGGCAGACAGACCTCAAAGGTTTGCCTTACATCGTGTTTCTGTCCCACTTGTGTTATGGCCCTGGTTCCTACGGAGCTGCTGGTGACAGGCACCCCCGTCAACCTGAGCAGGATGAAATCTTCCCTTGCGTGGAGGGAAAAAAACCTCCACACAGGCCATTCTGCTGACTGTGCTTGCTCAGCTGGAAAATGGGGTATGTGTTTAGAGAAGGAACAGCAGGGAAAATAGCTGGTTAGGAAGAAGCCTGATGCAAGAGGAAGGTCATGAGGCTCCAGTTTCTGACCAGCAATGCTCTCCCGAGTGGTGGGACTGCAGCTTTTGCGGTGCTGCCTGTAGCTCGAGTGCCGCCTCCTTTGTCTCGTCACGTTCGGGCCTGCCGCAGATTTAAAACTTTACATTAATTTCACGGAAGGAATGCACACCAGTCTGCTTTTCTTCGTGTGCTGGAGTGGGGGCAGATTTTTGAGAAGGGAGGGGTTGAAGAGAAATTGGATCGTGAGCTATTTGGGGAAGAAGCTAGCGAGAAGTCATCCAGAGGTTTTGGCAAGCACGTGGCCTGGAGCGGGGTGGCACGCACGTCGAGCCTCTGCTGGGCGGCTGGTTGCTGAAGTGTTTGACTGGAGGTTACATCTTGGTGTGAAGCACGAGAAGCACGAGATTCGATGTGCAACGAGACCTGCCTGGAGCCTTTGGCCTCAGCTCCCACCCCCTTGCTGCACCTCAGCTGCTCAACACACACAATCAGGCAAATTTGTTGGTATTTCTCCACCGGTGTTTCCATTTCCACAGCAGAAACCCGGTCTCATGACCTCGCGGTCTTCCAGGCAGATCTCCCCCCTAGCATCCCAGAGCAGGATGTGGGTGAATGCAAACTGTCTCTGCAGCCTTCCCTGTGACTGCTGCTGCCGTGACAGCTCAGGCGATGGTTTCGGTGGTTGCCCTGAGGTCTTTGGGCCGAGGCAGGTGGCTCAGCTCTTTCCTGCTCCCGTGCCGAGGCTCCTTGCAGGGCTGGCGCAGCGCCGGGTGTGCTGGAGTGGGGAAGTTCCCATGGCGAGGAAGGGGAAGAGGAAGCGGCGCAGACCAGCATCACCCCCAGGTATTGCTCAGTTCCCAAGCACGTCTCCTGGCAAGAATAATTTCCCATGGCTGGGTCACCCTGGTGAGTTGTGGATGTTTATTGATTGTTTGGTGTTAGCGCTCCGCTCCTGGGGTGGATGTGGAGAGCTACAGCTTTCACTGCTCTTTGGTATGGTCTGGGGCCTGCCTACTGGGTCACTGCCCCCAAATCAGATGTAAAAAGCCATTTAAATGGCCCTAGAAGCAGACAGAGGGGCAAACGTGGGGAGGAGGCTGTGTTAATGGAGATCACTGCTTTGGGATCGCTGGGCGCAGAGGCACTGTGCTGCTGTCCAAATGTGAGGTTTTCTCTTTTATTATTTTTAATTCATTTTTAAAGCAGTATTGTCTTTCCCAAATATGTTTTTGACAGAAGGGGAAACAAGTAGTGCTTTTCAGAATAGTTTGAGCCAGCCAGGAATGGGTGATGATTCTGGATCATCATGACTTTGTCTTTGGCCCATCTGCTGCAGTGGGGCTGTGATGGTGACATCGGTGATTAGAAACTCCCAGCCTGTCACCATGAGTGACTAACCTGGATAATCTGTTAGTGATTTCTGGGATTTTAAGTTACAAGGCCGGATGATGAAATACAAAGCTCATTACACTGAGGTTGAATAAAGGCTTTTAGGGGTTAGATGCTTGGTCCAGGCATTGCTTTTCTGGGAATGCCCGGTGATGGTGCAGTGCCCAGCCTGCTGGCTTTCAATTGCTCAAGCTGATGAGTGTGTCAAGCAAGCCCTGGCAAGGTTTCTGCTCAAAGAACCAGCGTGTGCTCTGCCTGGAAACATCTCCAGCTCTGGACAACAGAAGCATTTTGCCTGGTTGCTCTTGGAGACCTCACGTTGCGCTTGGTTCCCTGAACCCACGTGGAGGACAGGAACAGGAGGGCCAGGGAGGTGCGGAGCTGGCAGTCGCTGCTTTCTGGGGGGCTGCCTAGGGCAGGACATGGCCGGGGGTGCTTCCTGCCCCGTGCCCGCTTCCCTTTCCATGCGAGGGAGCTATTCACAGACACTGACATCTCTCTGTCTAACGCTTCCTGTGATTTCATAGGAAATTTCTCTTGCAGTGGCAGCTGCTGCCAATTTGTGTAGCCCTTTTCTCTGACCTCAGTTAATTCTTTTTTTGTCTATTGCTGAGCCAGGCTTAAAGTTTTCCATCAGGTTTTCACAATCCGGCCTCTGTGATGCCGTTTCCTAGTGCTGAGCAGGTCAGGATCACCCTGCCCAGTAACATCAAACGCATTTCAATTCATCCCTTGCACCAGAAAAGCAGGGACTGGGGAGAAGCTGTGGTCATCAGGAAACTGCTTGGTTTTGCTGCCCGTCACCTCTAATTTCAGTCTTTGAACATCCAGCTCGCACTGAATGGTCCCAGTGAGCTGGGTGCTCCAGGACAGGTGGCTTTGACTGCTCAAAGTGGTGGCACAGCACCAGTAGAGCAGTGAGTCCTTCCCCAGGCTCAGCATCACCAGCGCCTGGGGGCTGAGCTTGCTCCACGTTGGTTCTTCTGTCTCCTGGGCTGCTGTGCTTCCACCTCTGGTTTCTTCCCAGTCTGTGGAGATGACGGGAAGGTGCCTCTCAGAGCACAGCAAGGAGACTAAACAGCAGCTGCCCAGGAGCTGCTGCCAGATGTTGCTGTCTCTGCAGACTCTGCTTGGCAGATGTTCTCCAAACAAGCTGGCTCCAGGGTACCAGGGTGCTCTGATCTGCAGGAGAGCGTTTGCAAAGGCTTTGGTTCACGTCTCCGAGTGGCCCTGTGGGCGCTGCTGTGAAAACAGGCAGTGTCCGGACCTGCTTCCCTTTCCCGCTGCCTTTCGAGATGAGCGGGACACGTCTGGAGGAGATTTTGGTTGAGGGAGTCAAGGAGGTCAGAGTGAACGTGTGTGAATGTCCCTGGCTGGAGCTGGCCTCCATGGGAACAGCGGGGCATGCAGGATGTCTGCCCGCCTGCTGCCTTCCCCTCTCCCTAGGGACACAGGGACCAAGGGGAATTTTGGAGTGCGGGGTGAGAGCGGGTTTGGCTCAGGCCCTTCTTTTCCCCACGGGAAGCGGCTGCCTCCTCTCAGCGGGAGGCTGTCGCTTTCACAAAGAGCCTCCTGTGACTCCGCTGCCCACGCCGAACCGGATTGTGAAGCCTTTTGTTCTGTTGAATTCTTTTTTTCTTTTTTTTTCCCCTTTGGGTGGTGTCAAAAGCCAGCTTCTGGGCTCAGGGTAATAATGGCAGTGCCTGGTGCGGGCATGGATTAGGTCAGCTCTTGCTTGTGAGACCAAAGCAGAGAAATACGGCTTTGCTCCGAACCTCCGTCACGTAGCCAAAGCAAATCCTGCCAAGAAGAGAAGAGGGAACTTCCCTCTCCCTGCAACTGCGGCTCATGCATCATGTCCTGGTGTTGTGCAAGACTGGAAGAGTTTGCTGTCCTCGCCTGGGTGTTTCATCACCACCATCCCGATGTGCTGGTGTATCTGGCTGTTGGGTGAGATGCAGCATCCCCTTGGTGAGCTGGCAGAGACTGACTTTCTCTTCTGCAGTCCCTGGGGTGACCCACACAAGTCACAACACTCGGGAGCAGAAATCCTCAGCTTCCCAGCTGGCCACAGCAGCTCGACAGGAGCAAATCCCACAGTGCCCACCAGTTGCAGAGCACCTGCAGCCAGCGTCAACCTGTGCTCCTTCCGCTCCATTGCTATCGGGGAATGCATTTCACTGTCACGTTTTTCTTTCCACTGCACCAGATTTAAATGAAAAATAATGTATCTTTTTTTTTTTTTTTTCCCCCACCAAAATACGAAGGTGCAAAACTTTTCCACTCTGTAGTGGAAAAGAAGCGAAGCGATGACGTGCCTTATTAGCTCCTGGCACTTGTTTTAATTTTTTGCAGAGACTTCTCTGGGCTTGGCTGGGGCCAGAAAACGATAGGGCATGCTGGCAGCTCTGCTCCTCCAGCAGCCATCCATCCCTGCGGCGTTATGCTGTCTGCATTAACAGCTCTTATTTGGGCAAAGCCCTTCCTGAATGCTCTGCTTCCTGGGAATACTGCTGAGTGCGAGCATTCTCCCTCCCCGAGGACCCCTGGCAGCCCGCAGCACCGATAATTGATTCAATTAGGATGTTATCTTATGAGTTTCCTGTTAACGAAGAAGCTGCCTGCCAGTGTGTTAGCTGTTGATACAAAGCTGCTGGCGAAGGGCTCGCTCTCCCCGGGTGCCCAGCCGGCGTTGTTGCCTGTCCTGCTAACAGACAGCTCGGCCACGGGCCGGCAGGGGAACACGGAGCTCCTCGGCTTGTGCCACGAGTGTTAGCCCTGCTGGCGTCTCCAGGTTAATAAGGCAATCAGCAAATTGATAAGATACGGTAAATAGGTGCTGGGGATGTATGCAATGGGATAACCACGGCTCTGTGCCCTGTCCTCCTGCCAGGAGGAGCCCCGCTGCAGGTTGGTGCCCTGCTGGGACATCCGTGCCACGGTCCTGGTGCAGGGAGGCACGGGTGTGGATTTGGTGAAAAATGCCTGCAATACTTCAAGTTTCTGCCTAAGAACAACACACCAAAATGCATCTACAGCATCTACTTCTTTTTTTTAAGGTTCTGCCTCCATTACTTTTAAATAATCTTGGAGGGGGAGAAACAATAGGGTTCTTGTTTGCTTTTTTTTTTCCCCTCATGTTTTTTTTCCCCCCCGGCTGACTGCATTGCTGAGAGCAAGACTGGCGCTTGGCCTCTGTGCTGCCCCACGCTCCGCATGGATAGCTGCTCTCCAAAGGGCTCTGCGTCTGTCTGCTGCTTGTCTGCCTGCTTTCCCCCCTCTCCCCTGGATCTTGGATGGCTGGGCGAGTTTTCCCTTCTGGGAATGTGATGCGATCAGTCTCGTTCGGAGCTTGGATGGAAACCCTGGCTGCTGACATGATTTGTGGGAGTCTCCCCGCGCTCGCCGCCTTTGTTCCAAAATTCCTCGCCTGCTGGGAGCGCGTTTCCCTGCCGAGGCTGAGCAGGAAGGTGCTCTGAGATGAAACGTGCCTGGCTTCTCGCTGGTGTGCCTCTCTGTGCATCTTCTGGTGCCTCTCTGTGCATCTGTCCCGCAGGGTGTGTGGGCTTGTTGGGTGTTTGCCCGTTTTCTATACTTTTTTCCAGGGTTCCTGGGCAAGAGCAGTGCAACAATCTGCTGGAGTCTCTGTCCTGTAAAATCAGCTGGGATGGGATGGGCCAGAAGGGGTCCAGGGAGCCTCAAAACACCGAGACCTGCCAGCTGTGTTCCTCCAGCTCTCCAGTGCCACCTCCCAGCCCCGAGGCTGACTTTTCCCCACTGCTGTTACATTCTTCTCCTCGCTGCAGCTTTGTGTTGTGGTGCTGCAGTGGAAGACCTTCCAGCCCGGGACTGGCAGGCTGCTTTCTGCAGACGTGGGCTGTTGTATCTTGTGAACACAGACTGCCTGCCGTGCTCGGAGCCAGCTCTGGGGCTGTTTTCTTTGGAGTAGGTTTCTCCCTGTTCCTCAACCACAGGATTATGTCTAGCAAACCTGATGAACTAGCGTGTGCTGCTGTGTGATGTGGCAGCTGGGCTGGGTGGGATGCAGGGCACCGAGCCCTCTGCCTTGCTCCTTCAAGGGCTGGGGGCAGCAGGGCAGCTGCAGCAGGAGAGAGACCCCTGTGGTTCCTCCTGCTTTGCTGAGCTGCTGCCGTGAGAGGCCCTTCGGTCAAGAAACAGCAGGAAACGGGGAGCTTCTGGGCTGAAATTCTGGCCTGGTTTGGTGGGATCACACGGCTGGAAGCAGCTCTGGCCAGGGGCACCATCCAGGCACGTGCACGTGGGAGAAACCACAGCCTGCACCGCCTTGGAGCCTCTGGATGCTCCAGGAACGAGAGATGCTCAGCTCATGCTCAAAAAACGAGAGGAGGGGAAAGCTTCCAGGGACTCAAATATTGCGCTGCTTAACAGCAATCAGATGTGCAGCGTTTGTGACTTGTTTTGTTTTGCTCGTCCCTCGCCTGTCACAAGCCCTGACGAGCTCTTCCAAACAGGAAGAGTTGGGGTTAGAGGCGGTCAGGCTCCACCGCTCCCCGCCGTGGCACAGCGCGGGTGTTGTGCAGGGTAACTGTTGGGCCATCCTTCATTCTTGTGGGTTGAGGGAAGAACGGGAGGGTTTTACGTGCCCCAGGAGCCTGGTGAAGCCGTGCTGCCTTGGCCGTGCTCGCTTGTGGCTGCCGGTAACGTCAGAGCTGTCCCTGGCTACTGCTGAGTCTGCGCTCGTTTTCTCTGTTGCAAACTCTAAAATTTGTAGTGGAAAGAAGCTGTAAGCACGGTCTGCTCGGGCTTATTGTCATCCTGGTTTGGAGATGGCTTGTTTTCGTTTTGAAGAGAATATTTGAGAGATTCTTTTGGTTTTCCTGTTGTGTTTGGGAGTGTTGGGGGAGGTTTATATGTATTTCTTTTAATGGCAAAGTAGGAAAAATGCCTCCTTCCTTCTGCCCCCTCTCCACCAAGCCTCAAGAGTTTTATCCTGGTGCATTTAAGATCCAAAGGGGGAAAAAAAGGCAAGTATTTGATGTGCCAGAGCAGAGGTGCTCTATGGACAAGAAGGGGGCTTAGCTTCACCGTCACAACACTTGAAACAAGCTCGTGCCTCACAGTGGAGGAACCCACAGCCTTCAGCTAGGGGCAGATGGCTCCTGTAAATGTGGGAAAATAGGTGCCAAAGAACAAGATCCTTGAAAACCCAGGTGCTGGGACCCTGCAGCCCTCAGTGGGCCCCCTGTGATGAGGGGGTTCCCGATGTTTTGTGGCTGAGCAGCTGGCACAGGGGAGCACGGTATATTTGTCTGGCCATGCGGTGTTGCTTGTCCCTCTGCCTCCCGTGGGGCTGCTGCAGGGTGGGTGGCTCTGTCTCTCCAGTTGCGTGGTTTCCTCTCTGCACAAAATGCTTTAAATATTAATTGTGCCAGGGGAAAATGAGTGTATAGGCTTTGTAGGAGGGTGTGCTTAGGGCAATTCCTGGGCAGATTGTCTCCGTTGTTTCCATAGGTGCTTAATTATTTATGTGGAGTGCAACAGCTCTGATAGAAGACAGTGAAGCCCACTTCCAACACCTGGGGGACCAGGGAGCTCTTCAAGTGATGGGAGACAAAGCTCAGATCCATACCCTAGAGAAAACAAAGGAGAGTTTGCATCTCCATCCCCTTCCTTCCGACGGAGGGACTAGCTGAGCTGGAGGATGGGTGGATGAACATTTCCCCTCTTCTGCTCTGTTAAGTGCAAAGTCCAATCCAAGCAGTGTTTTCCAGCAAGGCCAAGCAAGGGAAATGCTAAGGATATGCATCCTGCCAGGGGCTTGGCGTTAAGCTACGTAAGCAGCATGCACACCCTGAAGCACGAGTACAGACACCCGGTGAACACCAGCAAGAGTGGGAGTTGTCCATCGCCTCTCCTTGCTGACCGAATTTACTGCAGTCTCCGTGCAGTTGCGTCGATCAGGAAATTATTCGTTCAGTGCTGAAGTTCTCAAACCTCTATCCCTCACAGCTTTTGTAGCACAAAGCGTTCCCCAAAGTTGACGCATAACTTCATGGTCTTGCCTGCAAGCATGAGGCTGTGCTCTGAGTCCAAGTCAGCTGTAGTCCAGGAGCTGTGTCAGTGCTGTGCTATGCTTGAGCTAATATATTCCTTGAGCTTAAAATATGCCTTTTTGTGAGGAGTTTCGGAGCTCCAGCGACTGAGGTCCATCGGGATGACACTTAGTTGCAGAAATGCAGGTGATGTTAACCACCCATGCTGAGCAAAATGATAGTGGTGAACAGCGTCGGTGGTAAGAAATGACTTGAAAATAATTGAAATGCTGTTAAGATCTTGTGTTTCTGGCACTTCTTTGGATCCTCGGTGTTGTGGTCACCGTACCCTGACTGATCATGCTGTGTACAATGTCTCAGGACGCTGCTAGTTTGGATGTTCTCCCCAGGCTTTGCCTCCTGGGGAGCGTGGCTTTGGGTTGTGGGCACATTATTGACTTTAATCACTTTTCTTGCATTTCCTTTTCTAGATGCAAATGCTGGACAAGTTTCCGATGGAAGGAGGGCAGAAAGACCCCAAGCAAAGGATCATCCCCTTCCTGCCAGGTAGGAGAGGGGGCTCTAGTAACAAACCATGCTGGTTTTGGCATGGCAGTGACTTTTGTCCTAGTACATGTGTGCATACACATGCTTTAGCTTTTACCTCCTGAACCATCTGAGCATTAGCAAGTTCTTCAGACAGTGCTGTACCCATTAAAACATCTGTAAGTGTTAGCAGGGCACCCCGTGAATGTTAAGCCCTTCCCTACTTGCACAGCTTTTGTCAGGAGCAGCCCCACAGCAGCATGCTTGTTTTTGGGAAGATCACGGCCAGCATGACACAGAGCTGAGGATGGTGCGAGGCTCCCCAGGAAATGCTCGTTTGCTGTTTTTCCTGTCCCGAGTAATTCAAAGGGCCGTCCAGAGAGAAGGAAGTACCAATTGAATTCCATATGTTAAATCGAGCTGACTGGCAGCCTTGGCTTCCTCCTGTGATGTTTGGGACTGGCAGCTCAAAGACAGGATTTCTGTGGCATGGCACGTGTCCCGCCAGTCCAACGTGCAGCCGAAGATTTGCGTGCCCAAGTACCAGATGCAGTGGCCCACTTCAGACTTTGTGGTGGAGAGGGTTGCTTGTGGCTGCCCTCTGAGGCTGATGTTACAGGGGGAAGAAAGAGCCCTAATATGCCATGCAAAAATACCCAGACTGAGGGGACCCTGCGAGCCTTTCGTGCACCCATAGCTAATGTGTTTGACCACAAAGTTGTCTTTACCCCCACCCACAAGTAGCTAATGGGCATATTTAGAAATGTCACGGTACCATAATCACTTCCAGTGACTGTCAGGCTTACTTAATGTAGCCCTTTGTGCTGTGTTCTGCCTCCTGGCTTTTCTAGACACACAAAGACATTCAGTGGGGTTTAGTTTTCTCTGACTGGCTTGAAGAAAATCATTTACACCCCCTTCTGAGAGTAAGAGGATCTTGTCCGGATTTCCCACCGAGGGATTTCTGCTTCTGGCTTGTTCCTTGTGTTGTAACATCAGCAAAAACAAAGTACACCTGACGTTAATACCGAGGAAAAGCCTTTGCTGCACAACCACTCCTGCCAGCAAGGACTGGGGAGAAAAAAAGGAAGCCAAATTGGCAAAGGGCATAACTTGGAAAAATTGGACTTACAGTTTGGCTGCGCTGCACTTGCAAAGAATTCCCACCAAAATGCCGCTATTTTTGGAAGGTAGCATCAGGCTCAGGAAGCCTGCTTGGAGCCCTGCTTCTCACAGCAGACTCATCAATACGTGTTTGTTCTTCTTTGTGTCGAAATAGTTTCCTTTCGCTGAGCAGCATGTCACTGGGATTTCCATTGGAGGAAAAAAGGGAGTTGAAGTTCCCAGAAAATAAAGCCTGGATCTTGTGTAATAAAGCAGTTTGGGGTAGTGAGGATGACCGTCCTCTGTAGGAACTTGTGCATTTGTGTGTTTCTTCTGGAGAGGTGTTCGCCCTTTTGCTGTGGCTCCCTTTTTACAACAGGATTAAATAATACAGTTTTTAGAGATAGTCACATGTTGATGTGGAAAACTGCTAGACCATGCTAGATGCAGAAGGTTTTCTTGATTTTTTTTTTTTATTTATTTTTTTTAAACTTCTGCAATGGCTGAGAAGAGAGACCATTGTTATACAACAGTTGGCCTCTTTGGGTTTATTCACCACTTACACTTTCAGGTGCCAGCAAGGGGTAAGGGGTGGCTGTGGTGAGAAGATACTAGCGTGGAATGGTGGCCTACCTCTAAGCAGGAGATCGTCACTAGATGGGAAATCTCACATCTCCTTATCCCCATGGGACAGTTTCAGAAGCCCTCTAGCTTCAGGGAAGCTGTGTTATTAAGTGGGGAGATGGTGGCTTTCCCACGAGCGGTACCTCCTCAGTGAAATTGCTTGCAAGCCATCTGCTTCTGAAAGGACTTCACTTGGGCGTAAGGGAAAGCTTTTTTTCTGGCTGTGCCGGGGGATGTGCTAAGCAGAATGGTTCCTTTCTGCAGCAGTTTTTGGCCTTCCCAGTTTGGGGTGGCGGTGGGTTTTGTACCATGCAGCTGAACCCAGACTTCACCTATCGCCTAGGGGTGCCACCTGAGTGAGCTCAGCACACACGGGCCTGGGTCACTCTCCCTGCAAGATGTGCCTCTAGTATGCTCAGTCGCTAGGTTTATGGTTATGTTCAGCTTCTGTGAGCACTGCAGTTTTCTCCCAATCCCATTTTAAGCCACGTTTTTAGCATCTGAATTTCATTACCAGTGGAGATTTGGCTCCAGTGACGTACTAAAAGCATGCTGCTGCCTGGGAAGATGGTTGCAGGGTAACGTTAGACATTGCAACCACTGAAATTCTCCAGAGTGCCTCCTGTGACCCTGTGCAGCTCTGGCTTTCTTGGAAAAGTCCTAAACCCCCCAAACTTAAGGTCACCACCATGACCTGAGAAGGTATCATCTGGGTTTGTTTGTCAGGCTGGCTTCCCGGAATGGGAAGAAAGCTCCACGATTACTCCATCCTTACAACATCCAGCCCAGAGGAACTCCATTTCCTTTGTGTCACTTTTTGTTACTGCTGTTTGTTTTGAGGACTTGCTTCTTGGAAATTTCTAGAGACTTTGGGAGTTTCGAAGCAGATCTGTATATCAGAAAGTGCTCTCAGAAGTGAACGTCCCTCAGCCCGCACAGCCGTAAATCTGGGTTCTCCAAAGGGCAGTGGAGCAGTTGCACTTAAGGGGTTTGGGGCCAGGGCTGTCCCTTCCCGGGTATAAACCCCAACCTGATCCACAGCACAGCTCGGTGGGGTCAGATTTGGCCTGGCAGCTCCAGCACTGTGCCTGGAAAGCCTCTGCTGCTGTATAGGGGAATGTGAAGTGGACTCTTGGCTACTTTTGCTGGCTTGGAGCCACTGGCACAGCCTGCCCAGCTTCGTGTGGTGTTGAGGATGGCCCTTTGAAACCGTGCTGGCTACACCAGCCAGGGTGCCTGGGATCAGCTGTGGTCCCTGGAGCAGTGTCAGGAGCAGCTGGTGGGAGAAGAGATCCCAGGGGACGGCGTGCTGGGCAGGGCAGGGCAGGCACGACAGCTCCATCCCCGCTGCAGGAATTCCCATTAAGGGTTACACATCTGCTGGCTGGAGAGATGATGGTATGGAGACCCCAGGAAAGAATGAACTAAGAAAACAAATGAGCTCAGTTGGGCCAGTTGTGTAAGGGCTGTGCCAGATCTTTCAGGAAACAGCTTTTATAAGGAGAGCGGAGCCTTCCAAACGCTGTACAGCCCAAGTGGCCTGGAGCTGATCCTGGCCAGCCTGCTTCGCTGGAAACGTGAACCTCAGCAAGGAGGGGTTGCCTGAGGCTGAGCTAACTGGCTGTAAAATTGCTTTTTAGGAAGCTTTAGCTACAGACAATAGCAAACTCCCAAGAAGGGAGAAGAGCAAAGAGGATTTGGTGGGATCAGTTTAGAAAGCAGAATGATGCCTCCTTTCTGCTCCCTTCCCAGCCGGCTAACCTGCTTGGCACAGGTATCAGTGCTGGCCACGTCCTTTAGGGCTTTTCTCCCAGGACAGCTGTGGGGATGCTGATAGCTCCCCAAAAAGGCCTCATGCAGGAGGTGGAAGACAACTCGTCCCTGGTCCAGCTGTGGTGCCTGACTTTCCCCACTCCCACTGCATCAGAGCTGGAGGTGTACAGAGGTCTTAGTTGCTATTTTCTGCTCTAGCAAGATGTGCCTCTGCCATAGCAATGTTGTACAGACAGTCACAGGCTCATTTGCAACCCATAATCTGTATTTTTCAGACTAAAATTTGTTGCTTTTTCTGTAGGGTTTCAATGAATCCTGCTGAATGCAAGCAGAGTCCTACGTGGAGGCAGTTGCTCTGCTCCTGACCTTTGAGCTGTCTTTGAACAAACCTATCTCATGTCTTTCTCCATTACGTGGCCCAGCAGACCCTAGGAATGATGGCCTTGGGAATGTTTTGCTCCAGGGAACTCTTGCATTTCTCAGTGAGCTCCTATATGGATGGTTTGTAATAGGGCTTTTGGGAGATTTTGGGGCTTCTTTCCAACTGGTTCCACTCTTACTCATGAAGAAAAGCTGCTGAGTCTGATATGATAGCCAGAATTAGCAAGGATTTATTAAGCTGGGGAGCTGCCTTTCCTCCTTTTATTTTTTCAACCTTTTGCCTTTTTCAGAAATGTATTTTATTTTTGTTTCTGGTAGCAAGGAAGTCAAGATACTGAGGTTTGCTGCTGAACTTGGGAAGAAAAAGCAGCTTCTCTTGCATCATTAGACTGCCCCAGTGGTGCCCTGAGGAGCCTCACTGTTTTAGCCCAGACCAAAATCCTTCTCGTGTATCATAGGCGACCAGCAGCACCCATAGGAGCCTCAAGGGCTCCTTTTTTCTTCCATGGAGGTTTCATCTCTTCAGACCTATTCCTCTGGCCACCACACCCAATACCTGAGAGATTTCTTGCCCCGTGTCTTATGCTCTGCAGTTCTCTCAGATTACTGGCAAACTAACAGAACTAACTGTGCTCTTCCCAGCATGATCTCAGCCCGTGAGCTTGACAGAGGCCCTGTTGAGCTCACCTTCATTTCACAGATGCACAGGACTCCGTGCTCGGGATATTCCCATGACAGCCATGGAGGTGCTTGCTGGTCCCCCTCCTTTTCTCCAGGCTGCGTGCTCAGCACACAGCTTTGCCAAACAGATGCTAAGTGCAGGGCTCCTGGAAGTGCTGTCTCCCACGCCTGCTTCCCCGTCCTAGGAATAGCCCACGTAGCTAGCTGGCTGCTCCATGGGCTGGGACTAATTATGTGTACATTTGGGGCTGCCTTTTTTTTTTTTTTTTAAGTCAGTTTGGAACCCGTGCCAGGCAAAATCTGGATGTGATTTGAAAGGTGCAGAGAAGTAAATTCTTTCCGAGGCAGTGGGGTGGGGGAAGTGGGGGGAGTCCTTCAGGGTAAAGCGAGAGGCACAGACGTTTTTCCAGGCTGGAAATCTCTGGCTTCGCTTGCAGCTGTGATCAGCAGGGTGATGCGTTTAAGGTTCTCTGCCCATCCAGCTTGCTTGAGACCCAGTAACAGCCTTTGGATCAAGAGGAGCCTCAACTATTTTGCTGACTGAAAAGCCCCTGCATTGTTTTCTTCTGCTTCTTGCTCCTGTCTGGAAAATTCACATGGGAGGGGATAGTTTGTGCAGTTCTCTTTCCGTACCTGTTTGTTTGGAGAGATTAACTCCTCCTGTGGCCTGCCTGCTCTATTTCATCCTGCAGGAGACCTACAGTCCTTATCAGTGCTTTCCCCATGCTGTTCTCTGACACATTGCAGCCCCTGATGGATCCCCAGGGCAGTGGGGGCTGTGCTGCCTGCATCGCTTCGCGCCCCCCTCCCGTGCTGCTGCAGCACCCTTTGCTCTCAGACAATCAGATAAAGCACAGCAGCTTTGATCAGCCACAAAGAGGGGTTTCTTCCAGGCTCTGCTCCAGCAAGTTCATGGCTGGATGGGGAGTAAAAGCCAGCAGGCTGTCCCCCACGTGTCCTGGCCCAACTGTGTTGGTCGCAGCTCTGTTGCAGTGGGATTTTGGGGAGAAATTGCAGGGATTGTGGAAAAGAAAGGCTTGAAGGAGAGGTTTGGAGAAAACTTTCCAGGAGAAGTCTTCCCAGGATGAGGCACAGCATGGGGCAAAGTATGGGGGTGCTTACTGCAGAGTTTGTTAATTTGCTGGTGGTGTGAGGCAAGCAGGAGTGCTTGTCTGGCTGCAGTGATGGAGGGAGAGGAATGTCCCTATGGAAAAGGGGAAGAAAAGAGGAGTGCCTCTGTGGTGGTGGCACATAGAGCTTTATAACCGAGGAGCATCACATCCCAGCAGGCTGTGAGCTGCATGCACTGGCTGATGGAGTCTCAGAGCAGTACCAAGGCTCTCTGCTGTGGCTTTCCAGGCTTCACACCAAGCAGGGCAAAGAACAATATTGGCTCCCTCCTGTCAGCCCAGAGCTCAGGGCGGTGAAAGAGAGGAAATGGAATCACTGACACAAAGGGAGCCCCGAGCTGGTCAGATCGTATCAGCAGGTCAAAAGGGGAGGGAGAGGAGGTCGGGCAGGGCAAAGGGAAGGGGCAGGGCGAGTGCCCGCAGCGTGTACCCAGGCTGCTTGCAAGGTTTCTGGTTGTCGCTGAGCAGGGGAGACAGGATGCTTGCTGCTGACTCGAGGTCCGTCAGATGTGGCCAGATGTTGGCTTTGTGGTGGGTTGGGGTTTTTTGTTAGGGTTTCCCTTCTTCTTTGTGCCTCTCTGAGTGCCCTCGGTGCTGGGTGCCCCTAGCACTGAAACACCCATCCGGGTGGCCTGGTTGTAAGAACAAACCAAGGTCAACGAGGAGAAAAAATGAGTAAACAAATGCTCAAGTCAGCAGGGGAGCCAGAGACATGGCTTTTGCTGCTGTGTTGCTCTTGAATTTGTCTTGCCTTTGGGTAAGTGGAAGCCCCTACATGGGAAGCCACCTCCGAGGAGCACAGCTGGTGCTGGCAGCAGCGCAGGTGCCAGGGGCTGGAGGGGAGCAGCAGGGTGAGAACTGGCATTGATTGCCCTTGGGATTTCTCTCCTTTGATGAATCCTGTGCTAAGGGCTGCCCCTTGTGTCCTGCCTCTCTCCTGGGCTGGTCATGGGGACAACAGGCAGCTGGGGAACTTCTCCTGGACATTGCAGCAGAGGTCCCTCACTCATCCCAGCTGCTTCTGTGTTGGGTATAAAACACCTGGCGATTTCTCGAAAGCTCTGTGTTTGACTTTGATGTCCCATTGATGTAAATATTTACGGTGTCTTACTTTTTTTCTAAATTAAACTTATCCTTGCTACTCCAGAGCAATCCTACACTAATAAATGAGTCTGCATGGCTTAATTCTCCCCAGCAGCTGCAACCAGCCAAGAAGTGTGCAAAATGTGACATCAGGTGTAGACAGGGAGCATCCTCCCACTGCTGCACTGAAGGCCAGTGAAGAGAGACTTCATTTGCTCTGATCTTGAAGGAGTTGTGTGTATTTCAGCGCTTTTTCAGTTTTATTTCCTCTAACTGTAAAGGATGGGTTGTGCTGCTCAGACTTCTCCAGTCAAAACAGCGATGGAGAATAATAATACTGCCAGGCTGCGCGCAAAGAACATATGCTTACAAGACACCTAACTTCTGCTGTGAAACAAATACATACCGAGCAAGGCAGGTGCGATGCTTTAGTGAGATTACAGTTACAGTAGGGTAATGTAGCACCTCATAAATGCATTCACCGAAATAAAGTGTTGTATATTAATCTGGAGAATGAACACTTCCTAAATTGCACATAAAGGTGTATTTTGCTGCGCCTCCTTGGGCAGTGACTTTTCTTGTGCTAACAGGGAGACTCCTTGCTCTGTTTGTGCATGCATAACCTTGTGTGTAGGAATATATGAAAAACTGATCATTTCTAAGTGCTTGAGTTACACCATGATTGAGAAGGTGGTGAAGTGGAGCCTGCAGTGGCAGTGACCTTACCAGATGCTGGAAACCTACAGTACTCAGCAAGATGAGCAGAGCTGCCTGCCTTCGGGTTTTTCTGTCTTTACACCTCATGCAGAAGCTGAGGGCAGGAGCTACAGCAAGGAGGGATGCAGATATGAGATGAATAACCTCAGATGTTTCTCTTGCATTATGTGGTCTTCAGCCCCATGAAAAGCCCCAGAGGCAGCACTGTTGTTCCCATTTTGGAGGTATGGTCTATGGGAAGAAAGCCCAGGAAAATGTTGTCCTGTTAGCCCAGGAGGGGAGGAAGCAGTTTCCTGCTCTCTCCTGCCTTTCAAGTCAAGGATTTAGATAGCTGTATTTGGCAGCACTGAAGGGTCTATAATTATGTTAATTAAGCATTTTGATGGAACAACAGCTTTCTGTTAGAAAATAAACTTCATTGTTGAAAAATACTAGATCTAGAGCAAATCAAGAAATGAGCTGGGTTTCCTGCTGGTTTTTGTGCACTGTGCCTGGCCTAATTTAAGATCACTTCAATTGTTGTGATGCGTTTATTCCCTGTAACTATGTTCTTTTTATTATTATTCACTGGCATCTGTTTGTTAAACATTTAAATATTCGCACACCCAGAGTTTGTTCCTTTAGACATTTATAATGTGCCCATCCGTCAGGGATTTCATGTTGGCAGATGTAAAAACTAAACAGCTATTCCTTACAATTGGCAGCAAAGCTATCGCGATCCATTCATCTTTTAAAAATCATTCAAATAGAAATCTACACAGCAAATCCACTACGACTGCTAATGAGAAAACTGCTGATCGTTTGTTTGTCTGATGGAAAATAATTGCTATGGGCAAGGTAGGGAGCTCAGACCTGCTTGTCGCTCTCTTTCCCTCCCAATCTTTCCAGACAAATTCTGCGTTCCCAGGCTATTCACCCTTCTGAAAGACAGATTGAATAGAGGGGCTTTTTTTTTTCCACTGTATCACAAAGGCTGCCAGACTTGGCTGTGACACACTGCAAGAAGGAATGCATTTCAGAGGAGAGTATTTCCCACCATGAATGTCTGGGTCCCTCGCTGTCAGTGGGACATAAAGAAGAAGCAATCCTTCTGGTATGAGCACGTCTGACTCTTTGCATTTCACTTGAGGGCAAGCATAGCTCTAGTACTGAGTGTGATTCCTCTGTGCTCCCTCTGACAGTCCAGTTTTGAAGGCATTCTGCATTAACTGAGCCTAATGAGAGATTTGGCTCCTCCATAAGGTTCTGATTCATGCTCCTTGCAGGCTGAAATATGGTCATTTCAGTTCATCTCTGCTTAAAAAATGTGTTGGCAGGCTGCACGAGTCAGTCATGCTCCAGATCCTGGCCCGGTCAGGGAGCAGGGGAGGGTTTTAAAGTTGTGGAAGGTACGTGACTGGTTAACACAGCCTGTTCACAGGTAACGTGGCAGCATCCAGCCTCTGCTTCCAGCACTGCCGTGGCTCCTGAGAAGTCTTGCTTGGTGTCTGGCTTCTGGGTTGCCCAGCGGTGACCTCCTTGATAAGTGAAGGGGTTGTACAGACAAACACATCAGTTACTTGCTGTGGGTTTGGTGGTGGGATTAGAAACCCAGGTAGGGACAAAAAGAGACAAGGCTATCATGCTGTATAAGAAATGTTGGAAGGAACTCGAAGGAACTTTATCACCCTCTCTCAAAACACATTTTTTTCTGGTTATTGTATTGCAAAGTAGTGCCAGTGTATGTTCCTAGTATTTTGGAAGTCTGAAATCCTACCACATACAGGTCCTTTTGATCACTGAGTCTCTGTATATATCTGTTTTGCTGTCTGCTAATGGCTTTTGTCTCATTAAATGCCAGAGAAGCAGTTCTCTGTGAAAGCAGCTTGAAGCATTTAGGACTCATTAGACTTCAAAGGAAATAGGTCTGTACCACAAGCGAGAGGGGAGGAAGCGGAGTGGCAAGAGGATCCCATTAATGGAGAACAAAAATAAACCCCAGACAGGAAGGAAAATCCTATAGGTCTGACTCAAAGCTGCAGTCCCGACGCTGTGGCTTCGAGGACCGATTTGACACCGGAGCTGCACAGGGAGATCCCCCCTGGCCTGGCTGCTGCCCGTGCTGGAGCTGAGCTCAGAGCCCGTAGCCTGCAGCAGAGGTCACCCTGTAGCAGGGATGTCTGCTTCTCTGGCCAGTGCTGGTGTTTCTGGTGGACTTGTACACCCACACCACGTTGCAGACAGGCAGCAAGGTATGGGACACAGGCTTGATAGGGCTGTTCCTCCATCATTGCCACGCTGGTGAGGGGAGATGGGGATGCACTTTGCTGGTAGTTGTTTCCCCTTCTCTCTGCCTAAGCACGCTTGCCACTTTAAATATGCTTTGTTCTAATATTTAATGCACAGGAGGGAATGTGCTTTAGGTACGGTGCTTTTGGTGAGAACGGGATGCACAGGGAAGAAGTCCTGACAGAGCGATTCAGAAGAGCGTCCCTGAGCATTGCATTGACCTGCTCCTCTCTCTTTGTCTCTCCTGTTTCAGGGAAGATCCTCTTCCGCCGGAGTCACATCCGTGATGTTGCAGTCAAACGCCTGATACCCATCGATGAGTACTGCAAGGTAAGGGAAGGTTGCTAGTGTCAAAGATGAAGCCACCTTGAGCAGGCTTAGTCCTGTTCTGGTAGCATACAACAGTGCCCCGGTGCTGGCAGAATGAGGAGCATGAGCTGTCCCTCACCATCAAACCTTTTTGGTGATGAACACCTACCACTGATTATCCCATCTGCTGATCCTGTCATCATAGAGGCAAGGTACAGTTGACTAGGACCTTTCACCCGTAACACTGAGACAATTTCATCCATACTCTTCAAGAATACAAGACTGTGCTAAAGCGTAAAGCCAATTATAAGGTCAGGGCAGATTTTTTTTGTTGTTGTTGCTGTTGTTTTTTTGTTAGTATTTTGGTTTTCCCCATTAAAAAAAAAAAGTCCATAAAAAACTGTTTTACACAAAATGCACCATGTCTCATCATGTCAAAGAATTACATTCCCAGCAGCCATGAAATGGTCTGGAGGCAGGACTGGTACTTCTGGAATCCATTACACATGCAGTTGAAAACATACACAGACTGCAAAATCTGAGGGAGAAAATGGGGGAACAGTGAGTTTTTTGTTATGTTCCTCAGGTGCAGGAGGTGTAGCAGTGACCGTGGCCTAGGACTTTGCATGGCAGGAGGGACTGTGGGTGTGGGGCCTCAGCCAGACCTAGGGAAGAGTTGTTGTGGCTGCAGGAACCACATTCTTGTAAAGAATTTATCTTTACAAGGGTAAAGATAAATTAGTGAACACATCTTGATAGCTCTGCAGTGGGGCTGGGGGTGAAAACCATGGAGGGCCAGGACAGGAGATGACAGCCAAGTGATGGAGATGTGGTGCAAGGTGTACGTAGACCTGTGAGCTCCAAATGGAGCAGCACCAGGGAAGCTGACGGTGCAGATAACTTGGCTCCAGCCAGCAGTGTTCAGCCCCTTGTCTTCCAAGTCACTGAAACGTGCCAGCTCCGCACAGACACAGACAGCCGTAAATTTAATTTTTGAGAAGAAAAAGTCCCTAAATGATGAGATGCTGCAGCTGTCTGTTTCAGAACGATGCCACTAATGGCATAAAATATAATGAATCCATTTGACTTAACAACTGGAACATAATGGCTGATGGTATATGACCCACTTAGAGAGCTGCTGTCTCCTCCCCCCCTTAATGCATTTCCAAGTAATAACACGCACACTGGGCCTGGCCTTCCCGATGCTGCTCAGCTGAAAAGCTGCTGCTGAGCTCCAAGGTGGGTGTGGGACTGAAGAGCTGCAGAGACGTGGGATGAGCAAGGAGCTGGTGGGAGCAGAGACATCTCCTCCAGGGCACGTAGCACTGCAGGGCTGAGGGATGGGGGTCCCATCCTGCTCTCCCTGCCGTGGTTATTATCGGAGGTGGACGTTGGGTGTGCTCGGAGTGTGGTGGCGCAGAACAGAAATAAAAAGTCTCCCCCAGCCCGCTGAAGGAGAACTGAGGGTTAAGCAAGCCTGTTGTAAACAGGTTCCTGCAGAAAACTGCATAGGAATGTTTGTGCTTTCTTGCCATCCCCTGGCGGAGTCAGGAGGTGTCTTCGTCCTCTGGGAGAGCCCTGGAAAGGGGGGTGAGGTTTGGGCTGGAAGCAGGTGAGGGGAGCAACAAAGGGGGGAACCACTGATTTCAGAAGGCAGCAGAAGTCTGAACTTTCTTCCCGTTTTTTCTAGTTTACTCTCTGTTCTGCACTTGTCGGTGTTTCCCCTGAAGTGGGCTTTTGAGAAGCCATTAGTGGGGTGTGGATGGAGGATTTGCAATGCTGTGATGTTCTAGCCCAATGAGGCTGGGTGAACCTCTTAAAAAAAAAAATCCCTGCTAGAGAATAATCTATTCTCACACCCTGGAAAATGGATTTTGGTGCAATAAGGCGTGTTTGTCCAGCAAATGACCAAAGTGACTTGCTGTGGTTCTAACACCATGGTCTGAAGCCGTGTGCTGACAGCCCTTGCCAGTTCACTCTTTGGACGTCAGAGCCAGAGGTGGGACAGACATCATGCTATTCATGTCCCTGTTTTTGTGTTTGTGGCCACAATGCTGTAGTCCATGGCCAGCTGGGCTGCAGGGTGGCCTGCTTGACTCAGCCACAGCTGCACCCACTGAGTCAGCGCTGGTTGGGCTTCCTGCAAGACGTCCTGAAAAATGAGCCGTGGGTCTTGCCTCCTGTGCTCCCAGCACAAGATATTTTCTGTGACCGTTCCCTGCTATCAGAGGACGTGTATCCCTTCTCCAGGCTGCAGAACAGGGGTGATTTTTCAGCACAGGGGAAGTTGTGTAGGTCATGGGATGCTTGGTGTTGGGGAGTGCTGCCCACATGGGGATGGCATCCATGCAAAGCCTGGTCTTTGGATAGCCCTTCCCTGCACACAAAACCCACGGAGTGAGTGCTTTGCTCTCTCTTGTGTCTCTCACATGATCCTGTTTGCAGCAGGGCTGTGATTAGTGGTCTGACTGTCTGCTGTGCTGGCAGCGAATGACCATGTGCTGAATGGCTGGAAGGGCTTTGGGGGCCCAGCAATTAGGTCAGGATGGAGCCACATCTGATCTTGTGGTAACCCCAGGGCTTTGCAGATGTGGCTTTGTCTCTGATACAGAAGGGAGTGGAGATTCAGATTGCCCGCACTCCTTTCATGAGACTGCTGTGACAGCAAATGGAGGGTGGGGGAAATGAATAGAAAATCGGTCAAACATCTGCTCCAGCTTGGGAAGCAGGGCTGCAGCATTGCTCCCTGATTCAGATCTTCAGTTGCACGTCAGTTTTACTTTTTGCAGTTCCAATCACCCATGGCCCTATTCCTGTGAGCAGGGACCAGCACAACACTCTGCAATGCCATTACCCGGTCTCCTGTGCTCTGAGGCTCCTTGCTCAGTCCTGATGGCAGCGCTTCACATCACCTGTGTCTCTGTTCCACCTGCAGGCCCTGATCCAGCTGCCTCCCTACATCTCGCAGTGTGAGGAGGTTCTGCAGTTCTTTGAGACCCGACCCGACGACTTGACGCCCCCCAAAGAGTAAGTTGGGTGGGTGGCTGCTGCCACGGGGGTGGTGATGAAACACACTGCCTCCAACTTGGCAGCATCCAAGTATCTGACGTGCTTTGACAGTTCCCCCCAGGAGTCACAGATCCTGGGATTTGGCTGGTTTCTTGGAGAGGGAATGGGGGCTGCACAGCTTGAGGTGGATAGCTCCACACCTTCAGTCAGGTCCTGGTGTGGTCTTCCCCAGCAGGGAAGTGGATGTACTTCTCCGGGACCCCATCAAGTATTAATTTCCCCCGATGACAGCCAGACACATTGCCACTTTCTGTTCAGTGAAATGCTGGTTTCAGAAACATGGTCAGGCTGAAAAGCCTCATTTCACAGGGCAGCAACCAGGCTGGGACTGCGCGTCCTCTGCCTCGTTTGAAGGCTCTCTCCCTTAGTAATGTCTGTGAGCCCCATCCTTAACCACTCCTGACTTTTTCCATGCAAAACAAGGAATGTTTGCAAGGAATCTCGCGTGCCTTACGCAACTCTGTGTGGTTATAAGTCTTGTGACTGTGAGCTACTTTGGCCAGGAGCCACCCATCTCTTACTAATCACAAGCAGCATAAATCTGAGCAGCCGCCTCCATCTCCCGCTATGCGGCTCGCTCTTTATGCTGCATGTGACACTATGTGCGGCTCTACCAAAGGTTGAGCAACGGAGGAGGCTTGATTAATTGTGCAAGGAAAGGCAATAAATTGATTTGACATCATTCCCTATTGGAAGGGTGCGGAGGTAGATAAGGGATTTTGTTTTTCTGCTCTGAGCAGGAGCACTGAGTCTTTCGGGTCTCCAGATAGGTGTTATGCTTGTGTGGATTCTGTCTTCTCCATGGGTTTTACATTTTATTCGTTTGTTCACTTTAATTCCCCCTTCCCCCATCCCTGCTTTCCTCCTTTGGCTTCTGTTTCTAGTACTTGGCCTGTCGTCATTCCTTCTGCAGCTCACAGTCACTTGATGAGATTGGTCTGAGGGCCCCGCAGCCCATTAACTAATTGCGTGCTGTCAGCTGCTGCTCGCATCCATCCTGCCCCGCTATTGCTCACCACTTAATCTGCCAACCTGATGGGCGTCCCTCAGCAAAGGTGGCAGTTCAGGGGCAAGCAAGAGACAGAACAACAAGACGAGCTTGCAAAGACACTGAGGGAGGGTTTATCATGGGGGTTAACAGCCCCTGGGGCTGTTTCAGGGCGTGGGGAGCTGCCTGTGTGAGTCTGAGCCCTGCATGAGAAGACGATGAGCTGCTCTGCAAAGGGAGTCACCTACTGGAGCTGGCTGGAGCTGGGGCAACAGCACACACAGGAGATTGCAGGGCAGCTTCAGTCCTGCACCCACTCTTCCCACCTTTCCTTTTGTCTCACAGGCTGAGCCAGATGCTGGCCTGAAATCAGGTGTGGTGGGGCTGGGGCCAGGACAAGGAGCACACTCAGGTGTGGAGACCTTCAGGTGCTGAGCATCAGCTCAGAGCAGTGCAGCTGTCTGTGGCTGTGTTTGCTGCTCCTGGCTACCTGGCCAAGCAGCAATCAGTGCCACGTCCTGCTCATCATCTCCCTGCTTTGTGTCCCACAGAACTAATCAGAGGTAGAGAGAGGAGGCACCAGCTTGAAATATAATCCAAAGCATGTGCTTCTGTCACAAGATCCAACCTTGGATACATCCTGTGGTGTCCTGCAGGACACCTCTGGGGTGCAAAATTGCCCTCGGTGCAAACCTGCTGTGTGTTTGACCTTTGGAGTGCTGGCAGATGAGCTGGTGAGGCACCGCTGAATCTGGTGGTGGGCTGCGCTGCCTCCCCTGCCTGCTGCTCTCCTGAGAGGAGACTTTGCAGCACGCAGAAGGATTTAGCAGGTGACTCCTGTCCGTTCGCCTCCAGCAGCAAAATGCTACAGCATCTCAAGGACGTCTCTGTTGTGTTCCATATCCCAGCCTGAATGCCGAAGGGGTATTTATTAGCGACAATTCAAAATGCTAATTAATAAAAGTCCTTGACTCTCTCCTCTGGAGAGATTGGTGGGAGCCCTTTCCCGAGCCCTGAGCGCTGGCACGCGGCCAGCCTACCCCTGACGATAGGAGAGCTGTGATAGACGGCGGGGCTGCATCAGACGTGCTGGCGTGTCTGGGGTTTGGCCGGATGTCATCATTCATAAGGCAGATAAATACTTCTCTCCAAGAGTTTGAAAGGGAGCCAGGCCATGAACGAAGAATTTAAAAAAAAAATAATAAAAATAAGCAAACATTTTTTTATGCTGGGTGGCTGGAAGGTGGGAATGAGGGAGGAAAAAAGGTCTGCTCAGCATGCTGTGTGCCAAGCCAAGCAGCCGCTCTCATGGCACCACGGCCAGGAGCCTTCAAGCTCCTTGTCCCCTGTCATTTGTCTTGCCTGGCTGATGCCCCAGGGCTTGTCCTGGGTCGCAGCACGGAGCAGTGGCTGTTGGAGATAGGGACGTGCCCTGGGGTGCTCTGGATGCAGCCTCTGCTTTCCTTTTCCTGGGTTATGCAGAGAGGATCCACCCATCTCGCACCACGCTGAGATGTGCAGCCACATTCAAGAGCTGCAGCTGACTGCAGACTGTAGAGCTCTGTTTAACTGCAAAGGGTGAATGTAGTCCTTGGATCTGGCAGCATTTGGGAGTGGAAAGAGGAGGCTGGACAGCCCGTGCATCTATCCCTGGGCGCCTCCTGTGTCTGTTTTCCCCAGTGCTGGAGCTCTTCCTGGGCTGACCCAGGCTTTGCTTGTGCTTCCCGGCAGTGCAAAGTCCCCTTTGGTGTCTGTTCGATGCCGTTGGGAGCGCCAACAGAAACAAATCTTAGTCTCTAACTCACTCTACAACCCCCCAGCCCTGCCACTGGCATGTTCAAAGAAAGATTGAGGAGAAGGGGACTGAATGGAGAGGGAAAGAGACAAATGCATCCTTTTTCCCCCCATTGCTTCCAGTTGGGCAGTAGATCAGAGCCCAAAGCCGAGCTGAGACAAGGAGTCTCCAGCAGTTGGGGGGTGGAAGAGGGAGGTGAAGCCCTTGCTCCATCCCCTCCGCACACACCCGCCAACTTTCCAGCTTCCTCCTGCCCACAGGGACCACTTCAAACAGGGGAGCGGACTGAGGCTGTGGTGTTTCCACTGGCAGAGATGCCTGGTGGCTTTTGTGACGTGGCTCCCTGTCCAGCAATCTGTGGATGGGATAATTCAACCCCTTCTGCCTCAGAGGGACGCCCAGTAGTGGGTAGGAGCGGGCTTGTAATCTGGAGGGATTGATTAAATTTGGGAAAAAGTGGGTCTGCAGGGATGGAATGGAGGTGGGGGAGAGAAGGACAGAAATAGTTATGGAAAGAGAAATCATCCAGAAACTTAGCTGTCGGTGGGGCTGTGGGGTTTTTCTGCCGGTGATGGATGAAAGCCATAGTTTCAAAGGAGAGGAATCATCAAATTCCTGCTTGCCGCATATCTCAGCAGGTCTGACCAGCAGCAGGATGCCTGGCTGTTGAGGTGGGAAGTTGCCATGTGTACCCCCTCACCCCTCACCCCCCCTTTTTCAGTTTAAAGCAGTTGTTTAACCACAGCACAGAGCTGCCGGGGGAAGGCTGGGGAAGGCTGAGCTGCTGGGCACAAAGCCACTGCTGAGTCAAGGCATTTAGCTGCTCGCGCTCCTCGCCAGCTGAATTTCTGCTCTGCCACATGCGGGAGCCCAGGTTAACTCTGTAGTGAAGCAAGGTCCTGAGGGGTCCTTTAGTAATTGTCGGTGCTGTGCAGGCGAGGAGCACTGGGGAAGAAGCCATCATCTGCTGCCCAAGGGCTGTGGAGCTACACAGGAGGTAACCTGGTCATGAGAGGCATCTTTCATTAAAGGCTGCTTTCTTTTTTTTTTTTGTAGCTGGGCATCCTGTCTTGTAAAAGGCACTAGAAGTTGTTTTGAACCTTTCAGCGTACAAAGCTGATTCCTTTTTATTTTCCCTCCAGTGGGAGCACAGGCACCTGTAGAGCAAATTTGTTGTCTGTTACTGTGCTTGAAAGACGTCCTCGTGCGCTTCTCCTCACGCGCTCTGCATTCACAGTTTCAAAGCTACCGGCTTCAGGAGATACCAGTGTTGTCTCTAAAATATGTAAATTCCTCTTGTCCTTCTTTCAGACAGCTTTTCCCTTAGGTTCTAGGTGTTCCCAAACCCATTGAGTCTCCTGGAAAGGGAGGGCAGTGCTGTATGTCCGGCACGTGCCCCTTGGCAGCCCCCACAGCATGCCAAGGCTTAGTGCAGGGGACCAGCACCAGCACCCCACTCTTTAAAGGCCTTTTAGTAGGGGATCATGACCTCTGCACGAGCAGATGGCAGTGGAGGTAGAGTCTGTGGCTCACCATGGGGTTGCCCCTGTGCCCGTCCTGCCTTTGGAGACCCCAGGTGGGAGTTTTCCTGGGGAGCTTCAGCTTCTGCTCCCTGGTGCTTGCTGAGGCTGCTCAGCTTTCCCAGCCCCTACCACCCCAATGTGTGCACTGTGAGCAGAGCCCTGCTCCTGCTAGCTGGGCTGCGTGGTGGTGGGAGCCACAGGAACACCACCTCTGATTTGCCTGGTCTGCAGACGAATGAGAAATTCATCTCCTCCTGCTGAGCAAACATCCTCCAGGAAATGCGTTGTACGCATCGTTTTGGCTGCTGCTTCCCAATTTGAGCTGATCTGCAACTCTCGAAGCGAGACCTGGTGGCTTTTTCTGTCCTTGTTTTAGCTGGCAGCTGCTGAGCGTCCTGGGAGCAGCGGGGCCGCAGGTTTGTGCTCAGCTCTGGAGGGCTACCCCTTGGGCTGGGCCGTGTCCCCTCTCCTGGCAGGAGAGCTTCCCAGCCCTCCTGGGTCCCTGCTCAGTGGCAGCAGCTTCTACTGCCACACTGTACATCGATACACACCAAAGATGTTGGAAACAGAGAGAGAAAGATAAAACAAACAGCATTTTGATTCTGGTGGTGTCTTCTGGCTCTGTCACTGAGCTCCAGACAAGCCTCCCTGA